TCTCATCCTTCAGTTATTAATAACATCCTTCAGTTATTAATAGGAACATATGGGCTGGCTGGTATGTGTTTTATGCCAGTGTTTCGCATGCCATGTATCACTGCACATTATTATTTTATGGCACATCTATTTCAGTTTTTAGAGTACTATTTCAGGTGTGTTAAATATGGGAGACATCCAAAACAAACATCCCTTACATAATGCTTCCTGATGAGCTCGTTAGTACTCTAAAATGGATGTGGCATACAAGGGAAACATGTGCAGTGCTACAGTCAAGGACCAAGTATGAGAAGCACTGGCCTTGGCATAAAACATATGCCAGCCCATATTTTCCATAAGTTATATAAAGAAAGTAAGGGTGAGAGAAACATTTTAAGTTGCTGTTGCACAGAGGTTTTACATTTACCATCATATTGCTTAACAGAACTGTTATAGATGCAACATTGGCCTGCTACATAACTTGATTAAACTGAATTGAATATGTCTGGCTTTGAAATGACACTATTTTACTCTGCTTATTCTTGTTCTTTCTGGTGTAGGTCAGCAGTGACGGTCTCTATTTGACTGATGATTCAAACGTTGCAATCTTTCCCAATGTTGAAGGGTCTTTCAGCTCGTTGGACTTGACATTAAGGGCTCATTATGAAGTCCATGGTGACACAATTGAGATGCCACAAAACACCCCATCAACTTCAGCATTTGCTTCAACACCAGTTCAGCGACATTTCTCTTTCACAAGACCAGCATCATCTGGATCTGTTCTCACGTCAACGCCCCGTGCAAGCCGAAGTTGGACAAGGTTTGAAAACCTTCTTTTTATTTATTAGTTTATATTATTGCACTTAACTACGTTTTTTTTAACAGGGTTTATATGTAAACTAAATACTACTAAAGAGTTCATCACATGTTAAATCAGTTTCCAAACTTCAGACCAATAAATATTGCAGAAGTGCTAGATGGCAAACCAGTTCCCAAAAGTGTTGTGGTGGTAAGGTTTACTAAAGCTGAGGCCAGTGTTACAGGCATTGTTCAGAAACTTCAAGCTGACCTAAGGACTACAGATAGTATCCCTTTAAGATAGTTATTCCAAAAATGAAAATGATCCCAAGCTTTATTCACCCGCAAGCCATCCTTGGTGTATATGACTATCTTTTAGATGAACAGATGTATTTAAAAATATCCTTAGTCCTTCAAGGTTTATAATAGTTATGAATGACAGCCCAAATGTTTTAAAGGAGGATCTTTGTCTTACACAAATGCATAGATTCACTTCAGAAGGCCTTTATTATCCCCCTGGAGTCGTATGGATTAATTTTTTTATGGATGGATGCATTTTCTTTTTGTCTTCAAAATGTAGGCTGCGATTCACAAACATTATAATCCTTGAAGGACTAAGAATATTTTTTAAATGTATGTCTGATTGTGTTCGTCTGAAAGAAGAGTCATATACACCTAGGATGGCTTGACGGTGAGTATATCATGAAATAATTTTCATTTTTGGGTGAACTATCCCTTTAAGGGTTTATGAAAAATAACTTGCCATATGTGTGTGCATCATTCACACACCCTGGACTCCACTACACCTTTTCTTTTTATGGATGTGTGTGTGAATTTGTGACTCCAAATGGCTAAGCAATGAACAAAACGGAACAACTTTTCCTTTACCAGCTTTTCAAAATAATTGTTTTACTAAAGAAGTTTACCAAGTTTTACTAAAGAATGAATAGTGCTTCTTAAATATATTTTTATTTTGCAATCAGTATATACTCCAGTATACCTCAACATGCTAAAATGTAGTCAACAAAAAATGTTGATGACATAGTTTTAATGCATATCCTCCATGCTTTTACAGACATCATCAGTGAGCCAATGCTGTCCGAATGTTGCCGGAGCATCATTGGGTGTAGAGCTTGCATTGAAGAATGGGCATTAACATCAAACCAATGCTTAAAGTGCAGGTCTGAGTTCTCTGTGCTAAACATCATCAGGGTGGCTGGTCTGTCAACTGTTCTAGATGTTGTGAAAGAGTTAGTTTGAAATGTTGTACAACGCTTCTCTGAAGAAGCATTTTTTTCTTATAGACATGGTGTTCTAGGTTGTGTAATTGCACACAAATGTAAAATCCTTAACTACAATTTTTTTTTCTGATTGGAGCATGTAACATTTTTCCTTTAAGTGTTCCAGAGTGTGAAACTGCACACAAATTTAAAATCCTTATCTACAGTTTTTTTTTTGTTCTGCAGTGGAGTTTATAAAATAATAATTCAGTACAACAGTGTTCAATGTTGAAAAATTTCACGTAAACAAAAAAACGTATCCCAACTTATAGATTCTGTTGTTGTACTAGAATTGGTAAGGTGTTTGTTTTCCAGGGAAGAAGTTCCAGGTTGTGAAATCCCACACATTCACAGAGCTGTGCATACATTCCAGGGCAAATAATTAACCTTTAAGCGGTTTTATTTGTCTTGCCTCATGGGTATAAAAATTGTATTTAACATTGTTCAATGAATGTTTTAATAAATGTTTTGTTCAAACAAGTACTTGCTTGATAAACTTTAATTTGCTCAAATTACAGCTACTGGTTGTACAAATCTTAACAAAAAATAGAAATGTTCATTAAGAAGACTTAATTCACTAAATTTGGTTCACAAAATGAGATCCACAATCTTATTTAAAAATATAATCAATAAAAAATGAAATTCCACTATCTTCACGAAGAGTGCATGTAGATACACCACCTTTAAGGATTTGAATATCGGTGAGTAATGTTAATAAGGCACATAACTGCTTCCTGAAAATTTCTGTAATTGTTGTTAATTACACTGTTGTAGAGGACAGACAGGTCAGGAAACTGATCAATAAAGGACTGCTCTGCATATGCACATTCCTCTTCTGTTAAGAAAGGGTAGATGCCAAATGTTGTTGGTGTGGTCAGAGAGGATCCCATCTCTTGTAAGTACATGTTTGCAGCAACTATGGAATTGGGTAGCAGGTCTACACTTAACTTTTTGAAGCAACCGCCTTCTCCCAAGGCATTTGGGACACCTCTCCCTGCAAAAAAATAAGTGTTTTTAGTTTGCTTCTAAAAAAAACCTGGTTGCTAATAAGAATACCTGGTATTCTGTGGGCATTCCACGAGTCCACTACTCTTCCTACACTAATACGGCCTATCTGGCATGTGAGATCAGACACACAGTAGCGAGTAATGGGGTCCTCCATGTCAATCATTTCCTGGTCAGTCAGCTGAATCAAAGCCTCCTTAATAGGGTAATTGACCCGGTTGTTTATCTCCGGCCACATTCGCTCAATCCTGTGGTTCTGATGTAAAACTTAAAATTACAATCTTGCAGTCCACCACTTTTATGCGTACTGAATATATGAATCAAAAAACATTAACTTATAGAGGGCCTACCACAGGTTTCAAACAATTGATTATTTATTATATAAAAAAATTTTTTTAACTACTCACCTTTGTTGAAGGTGTCTGCTTGTAAGGCTCCCTTACTGTGTTATATCTGTATGGAGCTAGGATCGCTTGCATAAAGAGACACAAATAAAATTCTTTCCCATGGTCTACACGTACTTGGTCCCAGATTCCATTGGTCAGAACAGCTGGTCTGAAATACAATAAGGAAAGCGTTCATAAAAATTGCTCAAATCCTAAAAGCATACAGTTGATATTAAAACACATATCTATTAGTTGAGCTGAATGACTATCAAATAAACATTTAACACCAGAACTCAACTAGTATTTCATTTTACTAATGATTTCTTATTACAGAGGGTTTTCCAACTAACCTTTACACCTCCTCATAGATAGTAAGGTTGTTCTTGACAGGCATCGTTGCATGCCCAACGACTCTGTAGCTGTACCCATCAACTGCTATCACATGCGTAACTCCAAACATTACGAGTTTCTCGTTTTGGTCAATATGTAATTTGTGACCAAAATACTCAGCATTGTAAGGAACTGGGTTTAAGTTTCGTGCTCCCTGGGAATTTAAATGGTAATAAATGTATGAGTTTACTAGTTGATTGAGGTTAATAATGTACAATGTGTTCTCTATTCAGTTTAATTGTGCAGTCTTTGATTAACGTTAGTATTGTATTAATTCCTAATACCCCAATTTTACTATACACATACTAATCAAACACTACATACATTATTACACAACTAAACTGAAAAGACAGACAACACTTTGTGAAATAGGCACCTGTAAACGAGCTTGGTGGTAAGGTTGATGGAGAAGCCTCAGTGCTGATCCAACGCGGCGTTCTGAAAAGCGGAGTCCCTTTGAGGCAAGGTAACCCGTCATCATTTTTCGGCCAAAAGACGGTCCAGTCTGTACGAAATAATATTAAACCGGATGTCAAATTGCAGGCGGACAGTATACACATCCCTTAGTAGTAGTAGCAGCAGCAGCAGCAGGATTATGAAAAATAAACTCACCTCTCGAATAGCACTGGCCACTGCCACCTCCAAATGATCATCCGACAAATGCCCTCTCTTTACTAGGTTGCGGTCGCCAAGGAACTTCTTTATGCTGGCCACAGAATGGCCTCTTTCAATTCCAATGGACGCCAAGGCAGTGGAAACATCAGAATACGTTGCTCCATTATTTATCATATTAACTATGTTTCCAGCGTGATTTTCCAGGACTGACCCCATCATGATTGATGAACGCCACCAGAGCTTTGACGCCACCTTGTTTGTCGCAAGCGCCAGTAACCAGGGATACAGTAAACTTCCGGTGAACTAATACGCGCTTTGTGGATTAAAAACCTTCATTGTTCGTTTTTGGTTTTATTGTATATTCATTTGATGCTTTAGAACACAGTGTGATGAAAACAAAATAAAAAATATAAATAAAATAAACTGAAACTCGTTTTTTATGTCTATGAGAAGGTTTGAATATGCGATAAACTAACGGTTTCTTCGTTTTCCCGTTTTTTAAACAAAAACGAAAAAAAAAAAATTATCCGAAGGTACACGGACCGTTTTAATTATCACATGGTGAAGCTGCTGTATCATCATTGTCTTCAGGAATAGGATAAACATTTTCAAGTTCTTTGTGGGTAATGTTTGATTCCTTCACCTGGCGTGCAGTAGGATGCTTGCTGCCATCTTGAGGACAAACTGTTGAAAAGGATACTGCTGAAGCTGGTGACTTTGATGCTTGCTCTATTCTTTGGAGTTTGCTCTTCTGTCTTCTGTTGAACACATCTAACTTCCGCTTTCTTCCTCTCTTCTCTGGGGATGGAACATGGTTGAAGATAGATGGGACGAAGTCGGGTGAAAGAGGGTTGTCACTCTTTTTCCCTAAAAACATTAGTAAACAGAAAATGGCAACAATTTAAACTTCTTTTAGCCGAGCTAATGTTACATTAACATCTAATCATTTATCTGACACTTTAATCCAAAGAGACTTACAAGTAGCCCAAGTACTAACATTGAAGTTACAAAGCAATAAACTTTAGTTAACAGAAAAGAATACCAACTAGTAATTAGCTTGACGGAGAGATAACTAACGTTACAATCTCAAGCACTGAGTCAGTGTGTTAAGCGAGTGAAAATAAATATATGCTAAATGTATACGTTACTATTACACACTGACGTGTAAACTCTAAGAATGTATTAGCCAATGGCTAATGATAGACATTATTTAGTCTCCCAGAGTGAAGATTTAGTCGCATATATGCTTTGTAGAGGGTTGAAACCTTAAACGTAATGGCATTACAACCGTCAGAAACAATATTAAACATGTTAGCTAGCCAAGTTACATTAGAAAGAACATACCTGATATGAAGTGATCATTGCACAAGCGAAATCCATTGGTTGATTGCTCCCATCTCACTGTTTTGTTGTGTTGGTTAGCACGTTTTATTGCAGTGAGCCATTTCAGTCGTCTATCGGGATCCTTAGGAATACGATAAAATGATTTCCCCTTTGCTTTCCTCCGCCTGTTCTGGTATCCAGGTGCACAGCAGCTGTCCACCATGTTGAAATTTTAAGGTTTTAAATTTTAAATAGACTTTAAATCATTCGACCGCTATCGATACCACTGCTACAGCCGCTCTGGCACTCTACTGATTTGCCTGCCAAAACGGCGGAGTTTAGATTGCATGACGTCAGCTTCCGGAGCTCTATATGGTTATTTCGGGGAGGAGACGCATGTGCGCACATTCTTCCGCTGACTGGGATTTATAAAGTGAATTTTGCGCAGGTTCTGGCGTACGAACGGTTTTATAAGTCTGAATATTTTTTTGCGTACGCCATTTTTGGCTTTCGGGCGCACGTACACTTTTAGTTGAACTGAATTCTCTCTCATTATTAAAGAGACTGTTACTGCATTTCGCTTTTGGGTCTTACCTTTCCACACAAAACAAGATATGATTAGTGACTCCAGATATGAGTTTGAGACACGGACAACTTTACGTGTGATATGAAAAAGACTTTATTAACTAGACTAAACATTTAAACTACTCTAAAATTCACATACATACATGCATACAGTTTACCAAGGGAAAGAGAGCTGAAGCAGAATACAGGAAAGCAAGAAGTTATAGCATTGTTTGATGTTTAGCAGATCAACAGCCTGAGCAAACCATCAGTTTAGTTCTAACACGCCCTTCTTAAAAAGGGGTAAGGATACTTGATGTATCAAATAATGAGACTAAGTTTGATACTTGCATGTCTTGTCCATTTGCATTAAACTGTCCTGATGCAAGTTTATGCAGGTTTTTTGCTCTTTGTTTTAAGGGTACTCATTGCATGTGCACGCTGGAGGGGTGGTAGCGATGACGAAACTATGAAAGATTCTTGTAATACTAATATGTTGTTGTTATCAACATATCATGTACACAGTCATTTCGATCTTCAAAGTACCAGGTTATAGAGACCAAACATGCCACACATATGATTTTGGTTAACCATAGAATGCAAAGTCTGAAACATTAACCCATTAGAGTTTACAAGAAAACATAGACCAAACAATATAAAGGAAAATCATGAGATGGAACATTAGATACATGTTAATACATTTATCACATGGTTATATATATATATATATATATATATATATATATAGAATATATAGGATTAAAAGGGTCCATTTCTCCTTCTCAGCAAGAATTAAGTCCATGCTAATTCTTTTGGGTCGTAAAACTTATCAGTCTTGTAACAGGACACCGAGTTCTGCCAGTGTGTTAGCTTGATTTGGGGGAAGTTTCACAGACCTTTGTTGGGATAGTTAGTTTGCTGGATTATTCATTAAATATAATGAATCATTTGTGTGTCCTGATTGGTCCAGACACTACGAGGGCGTTGACAGGTTTGCATGGATTGCCTCAGATCATTTGCATTTGAATACCATGCGCTCTCCGTGGGCATGTTCACATTAGAAGATAATGAGTTGCCATGACAACAACTGACTTCTCTCTCTTTTCATACAGATTACATAAACAGAGATTATTTGTTTTCGTTTTGAATGAGATCATTTAAAAGTAGACACTTAAATGATTATAAAGATATATTGCTCTTGCCTGTGTGACTAGTATTCGCTGAGTTTTGTTTAAGTTTAGAGATGTGCTCCAGAAAAAAAGTTCATAGCAGGAAGCACACCCTATTTATTTTCTTTCTTTTACAAAAGCACAATGTTTTGTTTTGATTGTGGACACATAAACAAGTAGACATTTAACAGTTTAATTTTTCATATTTCTTAAAGGGGTCATATAATGGTACATGCACTTTTATAAGTTGATTGTACTGAAATGTGTGTTAGCAGTGCCTGTACACAACCATCATATAATGATAAAAATCCATCCAGTGTTTTTGTTTTAATCTCCTTATAGGTTTTCCCCTGTCTCAAATCGAGCCGCCTGACCGTGTGACGTCACATGGTCGGACATCCCTCCCACGATTGTTAATTGACAGCAGCGTTTCAACACAGACCCGCCCTGAGCGAGCTGTCATCATAGTCCGCCATTGTTGATACGCTGGAGCAGAATGGCGTCTAAGCGATTGTGGTGTTCTGTTCTTGGGTGTAATAACGAACACAGCAGTCATTTTGATGTTCCTAAATCCGAACCGCTGAAGACGCAGTGGCTAAGTTTTGTTTTCGAAGGGAATATTCCCCACGATCAACGTCAATGCTTTCATGTTTGGGCGAATCATTTATCCCCAGACTGCTTTGTAAACGAGAGTCAGTATAAAGCTGGTTTTGCTAAGAAGCTGCTCCTGAAAAAAGAACGCTTCCACTGCACTGGACGTAAACATACATTACAACAAATTCTTAGGTGTCCTTTAACTAATGCTAGAAACATTCCTGCCGTGACCTCATGTCAGTGCTTCAGCCCTGACAGTTGTAACACTGCATAAATAACGTTACGCATCACTGACAAGCCTACATTTACCGAAAAAAAAAAAGTTTATCATGACCATTAGCTGTAACATCAATCTGTCAATGAACTAACGTATACATCAGTAAACATATAGTGTTTGTATCTCATTACTCTACCCTGCCAGTACATACAAAGGTAGATCAAAGTGACATTACATAAATCAACCATTCAGAAAGGTCCTGTTCGAGCCTTAATTGTCGAACTTCTTCGGGGCCGTCATCTTGTTCCGACTCCGATTCAAATTGATACGGTTGCACAGATGTGTCCTCAGAGACTCCCGCTGCGATTCTTTCTCCAAAATATACCCTCAACTGTTGTCAAAGTTCGGGGGTTCTCTTGGTGAGAACACCAATTAACGAACAGGTTCCACTTCAACACATAGAGAAGCCTCATAGAGGGGGTCCATAGGGTGCCCCGTCTCTGAGAGAGCAGGTCCTCTCTCAGAGGAATGGGCCAAGGAGGGGCTGTCGCAAAGGAGCACTAGTTCGGGGAACCAGGTCCAATACGACGCAATGAGCAAGACCTGCTCCTCATCCTCCCTGACTTTGCATAGAGTCTGTACAAGAAGGCTCACTGGGGGAAACGCATACTTGTATAGGGCCCGGGGCCAGCTATGTGCCAGTGCGTACGTGCCGAGGGTGCCCTCGGTCAGGAAGTAGAACAACTGGCAGTGGGACGTGCCAGGGGCGGCAAACAGATCTACCTGAGACAGATCTCTCAGCGGAACACTGAGAACCAGCGTGGCACACCCCGAGAAACCAATCGTTCAAATGAGACGGTTTGGGACATGGTGGAGGGTTCCACACAAGCCCGACCTTCTCGGTGGCCCGGGAAAGCATAGCCGGCCGTTCTGGATCTGACTCAGTCAACGCTACACTCCCCGAAGGGGGCAACGCACCCGAGTCGTAATCCGAAGCTCCCCCTCCGATGCTGTGACTGACATCTGATCGTCAGCTGAGGTCTCAAAGAAAACGACTGGTCGTCCATGAGAAGGACCAGCACCCTCCTTTGGAGGCTCCACTGGCTGGCTGTGGCTGAGAAGCGTGAGGGGCCCACAGAGATTGGCTCGGCGGGGAAGCCCTCACGGTAATCCTCAGATCACCCTGGCTAAGCGCCGAAGTAACCTTATTCTGGGGACCACTAGATAAGCACTAGGTCGGGGCATAGGCGAGGGGACTGCGCCTCCCTTGAGGTAAGCAAGTCTCGATCTTAGCACAGCTATAGTCATGTTCCCACACTAAGAACATGAACTATTCACAAAAGCAGCCTCAGCGTGCTGAATGCCCAAACACGAGAGGCAACTATTGTGGCCATCTACTAGCGCCAGGGAACGACTGCACCCAGAAACGCACAGGCAGAATGACATCCTGAAAAGGATGCAGTGTCACGCCCTGTGTTGCTCTTTTTTGAAAAGTACTCTTTTTCGATTTCTCAATAGTGCTAAAGGGGCCCAGGGAATGGCCGAGATAGTGCAGGCTGCTGTGCACACAGAAATTTGTGTGCTGTGAAAACAGCAGTTGGTTGAGCTATTTATCAATAAATAAATAAATTACAAAAGAGTCTATCTCGCACGCACACACACACACACAGACATTAACGGGTAAGACTGCATCAGAGTCAGACTGTACTTATGTAAATAAAATCTATAAATCATGAATCAAAAAATCCAAAAGAGACTCATTCTCTCTTTTAGACACAGACACACACACACACACACACACAAACACACACACACACACAAACACAAACACACTCCAGGCCAGTATTTGTTTATAAAACAATCACTTTTCCCCCTGCCTGATGTCACGTCTACTAGTAACATCAAAGGATCAAAGATTCTCCCTTGGTAACCACCAGCCAATCACAGAATGTGTTTTATAGCACCAAAAACAGTAAAGGCCTGTCCGCAGTTCATTCTTCAGCAAAATGACAAGAATATACACTGCTCACGAGACCCACATAAATGCTTTCCATGTGTTCCCATTTATAACCAAATAGTATTGTTTGATTGTAATCATAATGCAAAACCTGATACTTATCTAACAAAAAATACCTAAACCTTGACAAAAAAGTAGTCTTTTAGAATGTGTTTATATATACACTCACCTAAAAGATTATTAGGAACACCTGTTCAATTTCTCATTAATGCAATTATATAATCAACCAATCACATGGCAGTTGCTTCAATGCATTTAAGGGTATGGTCCTGGTCAAGACAATCTCCTGAACTCCAAACTGAATGTCAGAATGGGAAAGAAAGGTGATTTAAGCAATTTTGAGCATGGCATGGTTGTTGGTGCCAGACGGGCCGGTCTGAGTACCAACAATTTTTACAGTATTTCACAATCTGCTCAGTTACTGGGATTTTCACGCACAACCATGTCTAGGGTTTACAAAGAAGTGTGTGAAAAGGGAAAAACATCCAGTAAGCGGCAGTCCTGTGGGCGAAAATGCCTTGTTGATGCTAGAGGTCAGAGGAGAATGGGCCGACTGATTCAAGCTGATAGAAGAGCAAATTTGACTGAAATAATCACTCGTTACAACCGAGGTATGCAGCAAAGCATTTGTGAAGCCACAACACGCACAAACTTGAGGCGGATGGGCTACAACAGCAGAAGACCCCACCGGGTACCACTCATCTCCACTACAAATAGGAA